TATGTAAGAAATCGGAGAAAATTTGAAAAAAGAACAATAATAAAACATTATAAAAGATGAAGTACATTAAATAACGGAACAATGACTCAAGGGTAATGAATCTCTTCAAAATAAAATGTTTCATAATATATCGTCTTGTGCTCTTTCAGTGACTTAAGAACATGTCCTATGTTGATGGGAGAATTTTGAATAGAAACTAAACTTGCTCATTTCATTGATATTAAAAATGACTATAAAGACAAGACTGATACAGCAACTTACCGTCACCCTCAATAATGATGTTACTCTTTTAATTCACAATCAACATACACATCTAAAAAGGAGAGAAAGCGAGAGAAAGAGAAGGATGGAACAGAATGATAGAGAGATAATAAAGAGGGAATCGGAAAGGAAGGTCCGTGGAAGGTAGGGACAATATCGACACACTGGTGTTGAATTCAATGGTAAGAAAATTGAACCTCTGTGTTATTATGACATCTTAAGTGACATAGGTCGTAAGACAAATGATTTTGTAGATGTATCAATGGGACTTCCGAAAAAGACAAGCAGGATAAACATTAGTGATGAAAAATATAATCCTTTACCTACATTAAAGAGTCATCATAATGTAATAATTTACTTCACCGATAAAAGAAATTATATAGATGTCCTTGATAAACAAGATTGCACTGAAAAAGCTAGAAGAAATCTGAAAATTAAAACAATCTCACTGCACTGAAAAGTCCAATGAAAAAATTATATATAGCAATATTTTTAAATTATTTAAAGCTAAAGTAATAGATAAATAGTTATATTGACAAACTGATTCTGCACATTTCTTCTCTTACTACCATACGAAGTCGACATAAAATTCATAAGCACAATTTTTCTTCTACATGTATGGTTTCTTCCATGGATTCTTACACTCGTGAATAACCTAAATACTTCGCTGAATTATTTAAAAATAATCGAATATCTCTTCTGTCGTCACATATCCCGAATTCAGTTGATTTTATTAGACAACATGAGAAATTAATAACGATCAAGACCAGATGATGGTTAGCTTCAAGGTTGATAGATTTTAATTCTGATAAAATATAAGCAACTCTAACGGAAGAAAAAAGAGAATTAAAGACAATCTCCTGTGACAAGGATCTTGTCACAACAATTATATATATATATATATATATATGTATATACTCATCTAATTCGTTTGCGAATGAATGAATTACTGTTTACGTAAATGACTAACCAAGAGTAACGCAAAGTAATCGCATTAAGTGCGGCCCAAAATACGTATATAATTAAATCTGACATATGTGCTTTTGAATAAGAGACAAGGCTTCGTCTTAAATAAATCAGTATACAATTATCTATTAATAGGAATGAAAGTGCTTCTCTCTCTCTATTATGTTCAGAGAAAAAGCTTCATATTGGTCGAAACCTTCACGAATTCTACTATGTTGTCCATTTATCACAATATATTAACATTAAAAGGCAAAGGACTTTCAAAAGTTAACGCAGCAGATTCATTAAAAACTTTTTACTTTTCTAAGTCAAATGTCAAATAAGATCTTATTTGATAGTCTTACAACGAAAAAGCAACTAGCCACTCCATTCTCCAGGAATTAAAACTAAAATTATTTTAATCCAAGAAAACAATTCAGAGCATTGACGTTATTCCAGCAGGGTGTGGGTGTGGGTGTGGGTGTGGGTGTGGGTGGGTGTGGGTGTGGGTGTGGGTGTGGGTGTGGGTGTGGGTGTGGG